TCCGGCACCCTGCTGGAGGGGGGTTCGATCACAGAGGGTTTCTACATCAACTCTATTGCCCTTCCGATGAAGCATGAGTAGTTTACCACAGACCTACAGGTCCATAGTTAGTAGCTAGATGGCTTCTTCTCTCTCTTTGATTCTCAATACCATGTTCTCCTTGATGTTCTTGGAGATCTATTCAATGTAATACTTTTTTGCGGTGTGTTTGTCGAGATCTGATGAATTGTGGATTTATGATCAGCTTATCTATGAATATTATTTGAATCTTCTCTAAATTCTTTTATGCATGTTTTGATATCTTTGTAATTCTCTTCGAACTATCAGTTTAGCTTGGTATTTCTTGCAATGGGAGAAGTGCTTAGCTTTGGGTTCAATCTTGCGGTGTCCTTTCCCAGTGACAGTAGGGGAAGCAAGGCACGTATTGTGTTGTTGCCATCGAGGATAAAAAGATGGGGTTTTCATCATATTGCTTGAGTTAATTCCTCTACATCATGTCATCTTACTCAATGCGTTACTCCGTTCTTTATGAACTTAATACTCTAGATGCATGTTGGATAGCGGTCGATGTGTGGAGTAATAGTAGTAGACGCAGAATCGTTTCGGTCAACTTGACACGGACGTGATGCCTATATTCATGATCATTACCTTAGATATCGTCATAACTTTGCGCTTTTCTATCAATTGCTTGGCAGTAATTTGTTCACCCTCCGTATTATTTGTTATCATGAGAGAAGCCTCTAATGAAACCTATGGCCCCCGGGTCTATTTTCCATCATATAAGTTCTATTTTACATCATATAAGTTTTCGGTCTACTATTTTGCAATCTTTTACTTTCCGATCTGTAAACCAAAAATACCAAAAATATTTATTTTATCGTTTATCTATCTCTATCATATCTCACTTTTACAAGTAACCATGAAGGGATTGACAACCCCTTTATCGAGTTGGGTGCAAGTTGTTTGATTGTTTGTGCAGGTATTCGGTGATTTGTGCATTGTATCCTACTGGATTGATACCTTGGTTCTCAAACCGAGGGAAACACTTATCTCTACTTTGCTGCATCACCCTTTCCTCTTCAAGGAAAAAACCAACGCAAGCTCAAGAAGTAGCAGGATACGAGAGTAGCAACGCGGGATGTAAAGCCTGCGCTACTGCCAAGCCCGTTAGCTATAGCAAGGGGTACAAAACCCAACGCTTCTGCTAGGCGGGGCCTGGGAGCTGGGCATGTGTATCCACAGTAGCAGTGCGGGATGTAAAACCCATGCTATTGCTATCTCGCTAGTTGTAGCGCGGGTTTTATCCCCAACGCTGCTACTATTGCCAGCCCCAGGAGGCATGGTGAGGACCACTTAGTAGTAGCCCCGGTTCCGTGAACCCGCACTACTGCTAATGTTCACCTGCAGTGTTGGGTTTAATCTCGCGTTGCTGGTAAATAGCAGCAACGCTGCCTAGCCTACCCACCCCGTGCCACTATTAAGTGCCAGCCTATAGGGTTTTTCCTAGTAGTGCTTCCATGCTGCAACCCTTTATAAGACCAAGTTGAAAGATCAAAACAACTAGCTAGAGAGGGAGGGGTGAATAGGAAACTGCAAATTATAAGTTTACTTCAATGGCAGCATAAATCAGGTTCTCCAGATAAGCGACCGGGCCCTGCCCGGGACTTGTACTTATTGCTTGAATGCATGTATAAGGCAAGCCAGGAACCCTAGGAGGGTACCTAATTCCCTAAATAAACTCTTCTATCAAGTAGGCAGGATTGTAACTTAGACACAAAACTCATCAACGATCCCTTTGATCTCCGGCGATCTATATATCAATACCAACATTCGAACAAGGAGTAGGGTTTTACCTCCCCAGGAGGGCCTAAACCTGGATAAGCTCATTGTTTCCTCATTTATCTCTCAGTCGACCAAGCGCTCATTCTGCCGAACAAATCGCCATCTTCGGACGACACTGTTGGAACAAAACCCCGACAGTACAAATCTTTAATCGATCACATCAGGGAGAACACCTTCTTGGGTGATCCTATCCAACTTCCACGATAGAACCCGACGATGTTTCAAGATTTCATCCAAATGCATCGACATATTCGACATCAAGGAACTCATGAGCCACTTCAGAACGATCTAGTCGGGAATCTGTGGCCACTTCAAGGGGACAACTAGAACATATCTCGGGCTAAGTTGAATTCGAATTCGAACTATTTTATTCGAAAACTTTGTATTTGCATTGTAATATTTATATTTAAACTATTGTTGCAATGAAATATTTGCATGCGATTTATGCACGAATTGTGCTATTTATCTAGAGTTATTTTGGGTGCTTCAGACATAAGGAAGAAAAAACAGGCATGCGCATTTGGTGCACACCATTGGATGGCCGACTCCCCTATCGGTGTCCGCGAACATGTTCAAGAAATTTTATGTGTCTGTCCAGCGTTGGAGTTGCCCTATGGATATGAGGTTTCCAATTGGGAAATGTTTCCCTACGGCTGTTCGGCCCAACGCTCGGCCGGTCGCTCGTCCACGCACATGCCACACGGCATAAGGGCCCACACGCAGGCGTCTTTTCCTTATCCTCTCCTCCACATACATCTTATCCTATACGCAGACAGAGCTTCGTCTCTGGGTTTCTCTTCCCCGTCTCCATCTCCGCACTGTCTCTATGTCTAGCCGTGTCTTGGCTTCGACGAGCGCCGCGGCTTCTCCGGTGAGGCCACCACTAGCGGGACCCCATATGCTCCTCTTTTCATCCCTCTCCGATGGGATTTTCTCCTTTTTATCTTGTATAGCTCGTCAGCCCTTTCCCTTCCCGCTCCCCGACGCCACAGAGACCAGAGATGGACCACGGGACGGCGAGAACGGAGGAGGAAGCACAATGGGAACTATAACTGGTGGACGAAAAAGCTATATCCGAATACGCGGGAGCTGCAAACGGTAGGGCGGCAGGGGTGGTGAACCACGACCGGCAAATGAGGTTGTTGCACAAGGACCTGCTGACGACGGCGTCGCAAATGCTACAACCACGTACCACAAAACCTACACCCAACTTGCAAAGATGCTACAACGCGCGCACACCAGAGCTACAACCGCAAGGTGTCAACAAATGCTACAACCGTTCACCATAAAAGCTATAACCACGTTCGTTAGAGTTGCAAACTGAGTTCGCCGGAGTTGTAGCTAGGCAACACTGTGCTACAGCCGTGTGTCGCAGGAGCTACAATCAATTCACGGAGATGCTACAACCACGTATACCGGAGCTGCAACTGGTAAGGCGTCGTTCACTGATGCTACAACCGTTTCACGATGATGATGCGACCCCGACGGCGGTGACAACCTTTTCTTTGCTGCAACCGGCGTTTGTGCAAGCTACAACCTACGTCGATGGAAGCTACAACCGACCATGGCGAGCTGCGGCCGGAAGTTGCTGTAGCTACAATTGGCTAAGATGGAGCAATAGCGACGATGTTACGACCTGCGTCCGGAAGTTGTCGTTGCTACAATCGGCTAAGATGGAGCAATAACGACGATGTTACGGCTTGCGAGTTAATTTGTTGGAACCAGTAGCACGTACTGTTGTATTGGGGGGCATAACCACGCGAGGCACCAGCGTGGCAACCGCTGAGCCGCCGAGCTGCGCCGACGACGGTGAGCCGACGTGTGGAGCTGCAAGCAGGAGGCCAGAGGGGAGGAAGCGGCGACGAGGCGTGCTACGGGACAATAATGCTAAACATACAAAGACCCCCTCCCTCCCCCTCTCTAATTTTCAGGAAGGGTGGGCCGCCTCCCCACTTATTAACCAATCAAATTAACTTTTTTTGTAAAACCTTGTAACTCGTTTATACGTGTACCATTACACGCTACGGGATATTGCATCGGAAGGAAGAAGGAACGCGTGCGAGAGGCTCGATCGGACGGCTACAACAGGAAGGATCGAGGGCCGACCGGCCGGCTCCTACCACCGGCCTGTCCGATTTGGCCTAAATCGATGTGGTTACAGGGCGACCACTACTGGCTATAAAGTTTGTAGTGGTAGGGGTACCGGTACAGATCTTCCATGGATCGCATCAGCCAGGACGCCTTCTTTCCAGCGGAAACAGCGGGAATGGCCTCGCCCTGCCGCCCATAGTGGTTGTGCAGCCCCATGCTCTTTTGCCGTCCAACTCGCCCTCCCCTGGCCCCGCCGCCGCGCCTACAGTACAGTACAATCCGAGAGCATCAGTTCCGCTGTTAACCGAGAGCTTGCGCGACCGCGGACACGCTACCGCTCGCCGCCGTCGAACCTTCAGGAGCAAGGACTACGTGCTGGTCACCGAGCTTCATCGTCTGCCGTGCAGCCAACAATATGTTATTTTTTGTCCCGCGTGCATGCAGATGTTCCAATATCCAATAATCCAAATATAGTACCATCTCGCTGATGTGGTTGCCGCGAGGCAAATGCACGCCTCGTGCCTAATTCCTTTCCCTAACACTCACGCTGCCATCATTATTCCTACCCTAACGTCGCGTCACATACAGTAATAACGCACAGTGCATTATTGCCAGGAAAAAAGGTTACTTACCACGGTCGAAGTTTCAATTTGGGCCTAAATCGACGTGGTTAATTGCAAGGGGACAACTGGCTGCAAAAGTTGGTGGCGGTGGTACAGACCTTCCGTCGGTCGCGCGCATTGGTGTAGGCCGGCAAAGGGGCGTAAGTTTCACCCGCTAATGATTCATTGGAGCCATGAGAACCAGGAAGCTTATTACGTACTACCGTATTACTGTTACCGCCTTACCTAACTCGGCGTCGCCGTCCATAGGGGCCACCGGCGCGCATGGCCGGCCTCCGCCCTCTCGTTCTCTCAACCACTTCCCTTTCCGGCCCTATAAAGTTGGCGACGCCCCAAACTTAACCAGCAGCGGTAGAGCTCCTTCTTCTACCCGTAGCTCGTACGTGGCATCTCCATCTCACCAACAATCTTGTTTAGACAGGCAGTGTAAAAGTGACAGCAACAATGACCGTCGTCGCCGCCGCCGCCGCCGCGCAGGAGCTGCCCGGGCACGGGCAGACCGTGTGCGTCACCGGCGCCGCCGGGTACATCGCGTCGTGGCTCGTCAAGCTGCTCCTGGAGCGGGGCTACACCGTCAAGGGCACCGTGAGGAACCCAGGCACGCGCACCATCCAGATTCAAGTTCATAGTAACCAACGACATTACTGCGTTGCTTAACTTCGGGGCTAAATTGACGTGCGTGATGCTGCAGATGATCCGAAGAACGCGCATCTGAGGGCGCTGGACGGCGCCGCCGAGAGGCTGGTCCTCTGCAAGGCCGACCTCCTCGACTACGACGCCATCTGCGCCGCCGTCGAGGGCTGCCACGGCGTGTTCCACACCGCCTCCCCCGTCACCGACGACCCCGTACGCCACGCCTCCTGCCCTGTCCTTGTTCGTTGCGTGCTGATGTGTCTTCGCTTCAGTTGCTCACGCCTGCGGTGAACTCGGTCGTACGTCTGAACAGGAGCAGATGGTGGAGCCGGCGGTGAGGGGCACGGAGTACGTGATCAACGCGGCGGCGGACGCCGGCACCGTGCGCCGGGTGGTGTTCACGTCCTCCATCGGCGCCGTCACCATGGACCCCAACCGCGGTCCCGACGTGGTCGTCGACGAGTCCTGCTGGAGCGACCTTGAATTCTGCAAGAAAACCAAGGTCAGCAGTTCAGTCCCCTTCGGCTTTTGTTCCACTTCAGAAGTCTTCTTTTATCTTTCTTTTATGAATCTTCAGAAGTCTTCGTTAGTTGCATCCATCCAGAACAGGCAGAAAATCCCTTCCAAAAAACCGAATAGGCAGAAAATTAATGGGTTTAATCACATGCCCTCTTGTGATCGAAACACAAACAGGACATGATTAATTGTATGAGATGTTGCATGCACAAGCGAAACATAATATCTAGATTTTAAAAGTTTTCTCAACAACAACAACAAAAAAGAGACTATTATATATAGATTTAAAATGCTATGCCCTACGTGTGTCGATGAGAAATTGCTTCTTTTTTGGTACCGTACTCATACCGATTAAGAAGTCCTCTTCTGGCATGCTAAATTATGTCGAAATTGGCCGCACGCATAAACAGTAAGTACACTACGCAGTTTTGGTGAACGCGTGTGCAGCCGGCATCTTGCTTTCGGAAGCTCACACAAACATTCGGCAACATCGTTCACCATGTCGCACACTCACGTGCAATTCTTTCCTCCAACGTACGGAAAGGGAAAGCGGAGCGTCGTTTTCACCACCAACTCCAGAATATAACATCTGGGTAAGACGATTAACCAACGGATCAAGCGAAGACGTATCACAGGATTCGGAGTCAATCTTGTTCACGGCTGATGCAAGTCATTATCGACGAGTATATCATTACATTCCTCCCATAATGGTGTAGCACAAGCCTCTTTGATTGCGAAGTTGATCGAAAGCCTCTGTGCAAGTAGGACACGGATGTCGACTAGAAAATCAGGGAAAAGCATTCACCACGGCCCCGCAAGATGCGCGCTGTCGCGTAACTATTGCCTAAGGATGACGTCAGCGCCGAACCTCTGACATGGACGAGATTTTTTTTTTTGCTGGTGCGCCAGAACTGGTACTGCTACGGCAAGGCGGTGGCGGAGCAGGCGGCGTGGGAGAAGGCCGCGGCGCGCGGGGTCGACCTCGTCGTGGTGAACCCAGTGCTGGTGGTGGGGCCGCTGCTGCAGCCGACGGTGAACGCCAGCGCCGCGCACATCCTCAAGTACCTCGACGGCTCCGCCAAGAAGTACGCCAACGCGGTGCAGGCGTACGTGGACGTGCGCGACGTCGCCGCCGCGCACGTCCGGGTCTTCGAGGCGCCCGGGGCCTCCGGCCGCCACCTCTGCGCCGAGCGCGTCCTGCACCGCGAGGACGTCGTCCACATCCTCGGCAAGCTCTTCCCCGAGTACCCCGTCCCAACAAGGTGAGTGCCCGCATGCAACATCCTCCCTACGTTCTCGCAACATTTCTTGCTCTGTTTTACCTAGCTGTCTCATGTTCTGATCTTGCAAAATCTCACTTCAGAGGATTTACTTGCTCTACTTGAGGATTTAAGGTTTAATTTGGTTAGTAGGGGTGCTAGTAACTTGATGAGTGCCTCTGATTTGGAAATCTTATTTAGTGCTTGGTTAAGGTGGATGTGGGTCCCACCCTAGGTTGGTAAGTAGGGACGAGAGTGCAGAGCGGCTTACTGATCACTAAAGCTCTAGGAGTAGGTGCGGCGGGTGAACGAGAACTCACTGGTGACGCCACGAAAAGAGACCTAGGCTTTCTTGCACTTAGTACCGCGAAACGACTTGGAATATAAAGCTTTTAAACTGTCATGTGTAAGAGTGAAGCATACTGGCTGGAACACTTGTCCTGACGTGTAAATGGGCATTCCCTCGCTGGCAGGCAAGATAATATGCACACTGACACAAACCCTTCAGTTTGATCAGTACGTAAGCTAGTAGTAAAAAAGATCTGACCTAATCTGTAATAGTGTTTATGTTAGCAATGAAAAACTGAAATAAGAAGTACCTGTGAAGCACTTCCATCAAGAAGTAGACCTCTCCAGACAGTTTCAAACCCACTTTGAATGTCTGTCTTTGGTGGAGTGTGAGCCTGAAAAGTGGTAGTAGTTGAAATTAGTAGAAAATGTGGCATCAAGATATCTTAGACAAAAAATATATATTTGTCTACTCAATGATTGGCAATAGCTTACTCAGTTCCTCTGTCCTTTTGGAGCGATCAAATTAATTACACTTCATGGCCTATGAATTGACAAGTGGAGCAATTAGGGGAAAGCTTCATGGTCAGGAAGTAGTGAAGTGCCAAGTGATCATATTAAAAATTGTGCACTTTGGCTAAATAACATATCCCGGTTATAAAAAAGGAAGACAAATGATGTCGCTTGAGCTTTCTGCTCCTGAGTTTAAAATAGGAACCAAATCACGTAGCTTGAGCTTTCTGCTCCTGATGACCTGATGCCTTGTTTAAAACGAGCAATTGTGCTGTGTGATCATCATACACAGTAAGCTCAGCAGCATGCTAGTGCAGTCATATGGGCCATTATTGGCTTAGGTAAGCAAATCAGAACTAACTGTTGTGCTGTGTGATCATCCAAAAACACTTTTCCTACCTTACCTTTGATCTAGTGAGCAGTGACCTTTCTTTTTGCTGATGTGGTGAGTAGTGACTGTTCTTAATTGGAACGGATGGTGGAGAATGACAAATTCGTCTGTAGTGCCACCGAAGGGAGCAATACTTTTGATTTTGCTCCGGCGCAATGATAAGTGGTAAAATGAATGGAACCTGCTGCAGTTTCATAATACTCCCTCCGTAAAGAAATATAAGAGCATTTAGATCACTAAAGTGTACTGCATCTTTGGTGTATGCGGCATCTTTGGTGACATGTGTCAAGGTTGTGCTCAGGTGCTCTGACGAGGTGAACCCACGGAAGCAGCCTTACAAGATGTCCAACCAGAAGCTGCAGGACCTTGGCCTCCAGTTCACCCCTGTCAACGACTCCCTGTACGAGACGGTGAAGAGCCTCCAGGAGAAGGGGCACCTCCCGGCGCCGAGGAAAGATATCATCCTCCCAGCAGAGCTGGACGGTGCAACGGCGTGATGGTGCTGAAGAAACAGCGCGGTTCACGTTTTTCTGTAACGCGGTGGGACATCATATGTGGTCTGCTTGTGTATACATCCTATCTAATATCGTGTTATTTATGTGGACTAAGCAAACATGGTAATGTATCGGCTTCGATGATCAACACTTAAAAGTGAGCTTTCGCAAACTATTCCTTGGGTTTGCTGCCAGCCTTCCCTTCTTTATTGATGCAATGCAGTTGCTTGTTTGTGCCTGAACATTCTCTCACAAGTAGATATGGCCTCACATGGCAACAGTGTATCTTTTCAGTATATCGAATGTCACTACTCACTAATACATGGAATTTAGATAACAAGGAAGCTTGCAGGACCTTCTCCACATATAGATACATGGTAAAAAGAGTGTTAAGTGTTCAAGAAATAGCCTTTTGCCAGAACAATAGTGGTAGGTAGGGTATGATGAGAAAGGGGATACCAGAGAACATGAGCGAAAGCAATATTAACTTATACGAGTAACAAAACAAAAGTAACAAAATTATCTATCTAGAAGATACGCAGAAAGCTATCTTAGGTAAGGACAGAAGAGTGGTTATAGAAAAGGTGTCTTGGTGTAACTTTCAAGTTTCAGGCACTACCGGACTCGCGGTCTATGCCTACGGCCAGGGGCCGACGGCATAGGTCCTTTGCCGTCGGCATAGATCTATGCCTACGGCTGCCGTCGGCATAGACCCGTCGGCGTAGATATCGTCAGCGTAGTCTTGTTAGACCGTCGACGTAGTATAGCCGTCGGCATAGGGGCTTATGCCGACGGCCAGGGTCAGCCGTCGGCATAGTTTAGCCGTCGGCAGTGTTTTTCCGTCTGACGGCAACGGACGGCGCCGTCAAAAGCGCTGACGAGTCATGGGAAGCCACGTGGTAGAGGTACGCCGACGGCTTGGCCGTCGGCATAGGTAGAAATCTATGCCGGCGGCCTAGCCGGCGGCGTACCTCTGCCACGTGGCGTTCCGTGGTGCTCCTGGTGGCAGTGCTATGCCTACGGCAAAGCCGTAGGCATAGATGGAATCTATGCCGACGGCTTTGCCGTAGGCATAGCACAGCCACGTGGCAAGCCCTGGTAACTCCTGGGCTTATATATGCCGACGGCTTTGCCGTAGGCATAGTTTTTTTCCCTGTTTTCTCTTTTTCAATTCATTTGACAACATTTCAAAGTAGCATAATATGAAATTATGCATAAATATGATAGTTCATCATCTAAACATACTCAAGTTCATCATCATCATCTAAACATAGTCAAGTTCATCACCATCATCTAAAGATCATCACCGGCGGAAGTTCATGAACATAAAAGTAGTGCAAGACATGGAACATCATAAAAGTAGCAACATGAAAGGCATGGCACGACGGCCACATGCACGGAATCATCATCGACATCAAGCAAGACCACCTCCGCCAAAACCACCACCACCAAGACCACCTCCGCCAAAACCACCACCACCAAGACCACCTCCGCCAAAACCGCCACCACCAAGACCACCTCCGCCAAAACCGCCCACGCGACCACCATCACTCTGCCAGATCGGGGTGACTGGGGCCGACAGAGCAGTAGTCGAGCCACCGGTCCCCTACATTTTTCAGAAAAGATTCTAACGGTAAATATGATATGATAGTGTTGAATGAACGAGAACTAGTTTGCCAGTAGTTAGGAAAATGTACTAACCGTACCATCACTGCCTAGTGCCACCCATTCATCGAACGTGGGCACGTGTGGGGGTTCTCCCGCAGGTGGTGGCGGGGGTCCCATTTGTGGTGGATCCGTGCGGTTACTCCAAGACGCCAACATAGCCTGGATGTTAGTTAAACAAGCAAACTAGGAGTCAGAAGGAATGAAAGTGCAAAAATTTAGCTTGGTTTTAAGAGGGCAAAACTAACCGCCATCATCTGACGGTTGTAATCATCATTTGCCTTCACTCGTTGCAAGTACTCTCGCACCTCGAGATTCCTATGCTCGACAAAGGCCTTATATGCCTACATAATTTAGGTTGTTTCTAAGTGAGCAATGCTGAAAATGAACTGAGAATGCTAGAGAGAAAAAGATAAAGGGGAAGTACTTACAGCATGCTGGCGGGCTAAGGGAGTCTGTGAACGCCCCGTACTCTCTAACTGGCTCGGGATGGTAGACCGAAGCCGTGTGTACGAGATCGAAGGAGTTATCAAGCCATCGAAACACGGATACCGGCCATGTGACTTCCCCTGGATGGCCACCACCGCCGTCTCGTCGATCTGAGACTGGGCGACCTCAGGAACAGGAACATCCGGATGCAACTTCTGATAGTGCTGAGTGTAAGACTCCAGGTGCTCCTCGGTCTTGCCGTAGTACTGGCTCTCGCCCTCCTTGGGATGACTCCGCTCGCGGGCCAGCTTCCATGACTTAATGTCTGAGGGCGGCCTCTTCAACTTGTCCTCCTGCAACGTCAAACAGAAGTTAGCCATACATAAGAACATGACGGTAAACAAGAACAAAAATGCATCATGCATATAGATATACCTTCATGGCCTTGAAGCCCCAATGGTTCCTGTTTCCTTGGCCGTGTGTCCCGTCTTTTCCACGGTTAGCCCGGGCCTTGATGCTCTTGGCAGCAAACTCTGCATCTGCGCCGAGCCACCTATCCACCAAACTCGCCCATCCGTCATGCCTTCCATAGCACCAACGAGGAACAACCTATGCAAATTTTCGAAGCATGACATGTGAGCACGAAACATATAGTTGACTACTTGAAACAATGATAAGTTAGTAATAGTTACCATCATGAACTGCTCCCTGTTCAAGGTAAGTCGTTGCCTCTGCGCTTGAGTTTTGGTCATCTTTTGGTGCAGGTAGATGTGGTAGTACTGCGAGACGGCAACCCAGTGCACCTCGTACTGCAACTGACGAGATTTCTTCTTCGCAGCCGCAAGCAAGACCACGTCGGCTCTGGCCTTGTGCTTGTCAAGAACTCTATAGAGTTGCTGCAATCATGCATAAACCAGAAGCAAACAAGGCATGTGTTGAGTGATTCAATGATAAACTATGAACGAAACTGAAGACAAGTGATTCAGAAGAGAACTTACCCAAAATTTGGTGATCACGGCCTTAGCGGCCGTCCCGTACTCCGCGTTGCTGCAAGCCTTGTAGTGGGCCCAGCTCGTGGCCAAAACCCGCAGCTGCGGGTCCCTGTCTGGCCACGGGCAGAATAGGCCAGGCCAAAACTCCTTCAACAGGACAGTGATAAGGCCGTTCGGTTTACGGCCCTTTCCGCGAAGGATCTAGTTTCTGCAAAAGAATCAAATGATTGCCATGTGTACAATAAGAAAATGTTGTCATGTGTTGAAAATATGATTGAGAGGCACTTACTCTATCCCCACAGGTTCAATGAGCCACTTGTGCTCCTCGATAGAAGGTGGTGTAGGTAGTCCGGCATTACCACGCAGCCACCCCTCCGGAGCACCCGGTGGCAAGTCACCCCACAACTCGGGATCAACCTCCCCTCCACCCTCCTCGCCCTCCT